TAAACGTATATCTATAATTGATAAGATCATTTTTTTTCAATGAGTCTTTTAGATTTCCATAAACAAGAGCTAATTAATAATATGATTAAAACATAGATATAAATATAGATAAAATAAACAAATTCTTATTAGATATATTTATAAATAAAATATATTCAATGATATTTAACATGAACAAATAAGGTTATTTTCATTTGTTGTTATTTAACGAATATTGTGTACTCAAAAAGTGAGTACACTCTAGAATCGGTCAGGATGTCCGTCCGTTTACACGATAACTTTTGAAAGGAGAGTCAGATCACGATGAAATTTTCTACACAGTTTAGTCGTAACAATGTCTCGATCGAGAGAAGAAGATGAGCATGATCGGCCGAGCCATTCCTTAGTTATTGCAAAAATTGTCATTTTTCCCTATACCTTCCTATGCGAAAGCTGACCCATCTTAGCTTTCGTAAATAACTTTTCCTATCATAATTAAATGAAACCCCAACTATTCGAAACCATTCGATAGAGAATTTCACGAGCTACAAAATGGTATATAAAACACAAAGTAACAAGAAGGCTAACTCACCTATTACAAAGATAATTAAAGGGAAATGAGTTCCGTTTTTGTCCACGATCTAATTGACTCACAATTTGAGCTCTATCATTCCGATCATAGAGTTGATACTTTGAGGTTTTCTGGGGCGAAGAACTCGAATCCGTACTCCACTTGCCTCGAAATACTATTGGTTGAATAGTGATCAACAGAAATCAAGTTATAGGAAAAACGACTTTCTTATGGTAAATCAAGGCGAAGAGTAGAAATCTGAGCTGTATTCGTCCCCAAGTCCTATTGGTTGGATGATAGCCAACAGAAATAAACAGTTTACAGGAAAGTTTCCCCAGTGTAATTTTGATGTCAAGACATTCGTCGGATGACTCATCTGTCTAATTCACTTTTTGAAGTACACATAACTCTCGGATTTAAATCCGAAGTTTTCGCATTTATTTTATATTAATATTGATTTTATTTCTGTTCTACTTCATTTGTGAAAATGTTTCATTCATATAAAAATGTTCTCGAATAACTGAACTAATATTTGCTGCATTACAAAGTAAATGTTTCTAAAATTAATTATAAGGAAATTATATTATTGCATAAAATCAATAATCTGTCTCTGATTCATATTTATTTTATCATCATCTGAATCAGCAGATGTTTGTATTATTAATAGTGGATCAATCATACGTGTTAATACAAGAATTCGATTAATACCAATAGCTGCTGAAAGTTGCATAGCATGAAGATGAGGTATGATTTTGTTATACCTGAAGATATGATATTTGTGTAGGAAAAAAATCTATTAAAGTAATTTACCAATAATCTTCCATTGTTCATTATCAAATAATGTTTCAACCAATGAATCAATTAAAAACAAATGACTTACATCACTACAAATAGAAAAACAAAAGAATTTTATTGACATACATTGTGATATGTTACAATGAACATGTTCTTTTCATTGTCAGATATAAAAATTCTATCGAATTGAAAAAACTTCACTTACAACTCATACATTCGAGCATAAAAACGAGCTACAATAGCACCTAAATCATCATCAACTAAAATAAATGGCATAGGTTGTTGACTTGCTGCACTTATCAGGCGATTGAGATCTTCAGACATTCTAATAAAAAACAAAATTTAAATAAACTTCACAAAGAAAATAAATCATTTACCTTTCGAAGTAAAATCCATTCCACGATGCTTAACTGTTGTCTGTTCCCTTTCATCTAATTCTACATTGAAGGAAACAAAAAAAAAAACAATCATAATCATTCGTTACTCTATTCTTAATATAATTTTACTTTGTTTAATTGTCGAACTTAGTGGTGCATTACTCATTGCTAATCCGGCTCGATCATAAATACATACCTAAAGATAAATTATTTTACGAAAAAAAATAAATAATAATAATTCTATTTACTGTTGTTATCTTTTTAAGATTTTCTTGAAGTGGAAGCCAAATATCCGAATTCATACCAGTTGGACCATCAAAAACAACTGTAAAAACAAAATAAATAACAAATTTCATCTCGTAATTTCTAATATGATCATTATGCCTGTTGGTACACCATGTCCTCGACAACATAAAAATAATTTTTGACCATATCCAATATCATTTGGTAAACCTAAAAGAATTTTGAAAAAAAAAATTTTGAATATTGTTTAACCCTTTCCGACCGGCTCCTAGAAGGCGAATAGCAAAAAATTCTTTTTCCACATATTTCTTATTGTTGTATCATAAGTATAACAAAAATATAATCTTTGAAACAAAAATATTATTTTTTACTTAATAACTGTATGTTGCCATTTGGCAACATCCGGCCGTACTTCAAATTAAAATTGAAAAAAGTTTTATTTAATCTAAGTCAAACATACTCAGATAAGACTTTTTTCTTATTCGGAATAGATTTTCCTCTCTTTATTCAAATCAATGATCGACCAGCAGGATAAA